GTGATCAGTTACATTTAAAAGGAAGTAATTATAATCGTAATCGGTTACTCATTTTTTTTCCAACGTGTACAAGTCTGCCAGCAAGCAACTCTTTTGAACAGTAATAAAGACTCACGGTGTCTCTCATGCAATCCCCTAAAAGGACTCGTAATCAAAAACCCCCTTCTTCCTCTCAGCCGATCTACTGATCCTCCTCCCCCACACCTCGCTGAAAGTTTTTTTGACTTGTGGTATTGCTCACCTTGCCTCCGTGATCGGAGGCATTGAAACCTTTGACCGGCCCAACTTTGGCCAAGCGACGGGGTCGTGTAAGTGTAATACCGTGATGATTTGACGTCATGGTACACGTGACGTCAAAGCGACGTACGAAAAGGGCAGTGAGTTGTCGCATTAAAAGGGGGGTAACGAGTTAGAGTAGATGGTACCTACTATGGGAGAGCAGAAAGCCATCCCGTGGACATGCAGAAAGCGCTCAATCAAGCCAACGCGTTGTATCCACAGTATAAATTTGATGTCTGAATCGTTATGGCGTAAAGTAGCGCAATGAAAGACGAGTTAAAGAAAGTGGCGTTTACTTTCTCGTTCTCGTCTTTTTCGGAGCTACTTTTACGCCGTTATGAGTAATGTTAATGTCTCGAATTTCGCTATCCGTGACATCACGATGACGTCACATGGTTGCGTCTTCACGCGATGACGATTTTTCTTATCAATCGTGTCGATGCTATCTACGGTGACGGTGAATTTTCGTATTAGATGAGGCATCTAATGACTTTCGCCTTAAAATCCACGCCGCTTTTCGGCGGACTTGTTTCGATATGGTTATCCCGGGCATTGGCCTCCAGATTCATTTGTAGTTCAGTCTAGGTCGGTACGGATAGAAGTCACTGACCCCGAGGCCACTTTAGCGGTGGCAGATGATTTTAACGTCTTCACACCATTCGCAGACAGTGCCGCGCTGTGCCTGAACTTAGGCAACTGGTGGTCACTCTTGCGTGAAAAGCGCTGCAGGCAGGACCATAAAAACAACACCACCACGCACGGTTGCACCGCGTGAAAAAGAAGGTCCCGGCGGATGAGCGCTTTGTTAAGCTTTTCCAGCGTTTCAACGTGATTGATTGATATGTAGGGTTTAATGTCCCGAAACCACCATATCATCAGAGACGCCGTAGTGAAGGGCTCCAGAAATTTCAACCACCTGGGGTCCTTTTTTAATGTGCACCCAAATCTGAGTACACGGGCCTACAGCATGTTTCGTCTTCATCGAAAATGAAGCCACTGCAGCTGGGATTCGATCCCGCGACCTGCTGGTCAGCAGCCGAGTACCTTAGCCACTGGACCACCGAGGCGGGGCCTTTTAAGTTTAGTGAAAGAATTGTAATATACGAATTATCAAGGTGCAAAGTATTCAGAAGGAAGCGTGAACGTAATGATTGTCGAAGGGCCATCTATCTAAATTGGACAAAATATGATTTAGCGCAGTAATATATGAACTATATATTGAAATACAACAAATAAATAAATAAATAAATAGAACATTTAGGAAAACCATCGATGTAGGCAACAAACAACACACGCTCGACTCTGGCGTTGCCTACGATAGCGGTAACTTAAACTCCTTAAGACCTTACATCAATGCTCTTGACTGAACGATTGACGGGCTGCTAGACGAATAAATGCGAGGAAAACAGTAATGTTCAGGAATTGTCTAAGAACGCGTGGCAAAACATCAATAGAGGCAATGCAGAATCCTAAATAATGGTGTCCCTAGTTACAAATATGAAAGCAGGCTTGTTTTTAAGAACTATTGAAAGAGATTTAACGGTAAAATTTTAGAATCCGGGTTTACATTATTCCAATTAGAAATTGCACTGAGGCAGTTTGCTTACCATAGTTCGTAGCGACTTTCAATAGCAGAAAATTATTTGACAGGACAAACATGGTTGTATTGTTATGAATGAATTGATGAATTGGAAAGTCATCAGTAGTAACTGTATGGTTGATGACTTAATACACCAAGAACATCAGACTAGCTATGCATGTGCAAAGAACAGGACGCGTACAAGGGGGGTTTCAAATGAAAATGCGCAAAATGACACTGTGGGTATAAACGAAGACTTTATTCAGAGTATACACTATGTCCCTGATCACAATGATACCAGGGACAAGCAAACTGAAGAACTCGTTGTTGCCATAATTACTGTGACCGCGACGAGACCCAGCCCTATACACAGCGTTCCTGAGTTTGCCGTCCCAGTCGAAGTACTTCCCCTTTTAGATGTTTTTTTTTTACTACGTCAGCTAATCTAGCTGCATGATTGGTGATATCGATGTATGTCGGCCGGTGTTTTCTGAATGGCGTTGCATGTCGGCTTGGTATTGGAAAAAGTCGTAAAAATTGTTGTACGTGTTGGTTATCCGTTTGTATGACAGCAATCTCCATTCAGTCTCACGCACTCCAATGATTGGGCGGTTGCTCTAGCATATTCGCAAACAGAGTTTGCCCGAATTTAATTCTTTATATGTTTTCCGGAAACACTTGCCCCTATCCCTGCACGCATCGCGCGCAGTCTCAGAGGAAACTCCTTTTCTCTTTTACTTCCCCGATTCGTGGTGGACAAATTGAAACGCCTCTGGCCTTGTCAGGAAAGGGGCGCGACCGTCAGCCCCGGGAGAGGGGCGTCAGCAAGTGTTCTGCGCGTAGCGAGTGAGGCCGTCCCAAAACAATGCGCCCCGCGGTGGCGGCGGTCTTGCGATGAAGACAGGCGGCGCGACAAGCGTTGGTGGGGAGAGTTGTGTTGGTGGAGAAGGCAGCCCGTGACCGGTCCGCCAGAGGATGCCTGGCCCGACGCGGGTGGTCCAAGGCGGCCATGCATCGTTCCCCCCCTCGAGGGCTGCGGAGGTGGTAGGGGGGATGACGCCAGACCACCGCCACTCAGTCCGGCAGCGCGAGCAAGTAGTCCTTCAGTGAACTCGCTCGGTGCAGCGCGCCAAAAACGCGCGTCATGGGGGGAACGGCTGTGGGGTTAGGACGTAGCGCCTGTGTGCGGCTCTGATGCCACGCTCTTGGCACACGCATGCACAGCGGTCCCTCTTCGATGCTGCTCACTGCTGTGCAGCCGAAACCGAAACTTGATTACATGCCTCATGGTTGCTGGCGCAGGTTTGCAAATAATGGTACTCAAATTCAGTACAAGATGGCGCTACTTGCTTTGAGATCATCACAGTTGTTCGTTTTGGTTTCAATACTGGAGAGAAGTTATGCGCTTATTTAAACATAGACAAGCAGGACGCATAATATGCGTTCAGCCCGAGGTAAAAAATGAAATAAAATTATATAAAACATGCATAATTTTGATTTTAGCACCAAATTAGAATCTGTAGTTCTTTGGGAATTGTCTCACGCAATGACGCGAAATTCTGGTTTCAAACAAACCAGTGGTGGAATGTCTTGATGCTGGTTTCCTCAATCTTTAGTATGGTTGGAGTTCATAACTCCATGGCGTGGCGCAGAGCCGCGAACCTCCCGTGTAACCTTATCGAAAAAAAAAAAAAGGACACTGAATTTCGAATTTCCTAGAATTGTGCCGAGCCCCGCCGCGGTGGTCTAGTGGCTAAGGTACTCGGCTGCTGACCCGCAGGGCGCGGGTTCGTATCCCGGCTGCGGCGGCTGCATTCCCGATGGAGGCGGAAATGTTGTAGGCCCGTGTGCTCAGATTTGGGTGCACGTTAAAGAACCCCAGGTGGTCTAAATTTCCGGAGCCCTCCACTACGGCGTCTCTCATAATCATATAGTGGTTTTGGGACGTTAAACCACACATATCAATCAATTAGAATTGTGCCGAGTGACATGTGCGTTAAGCGAGTCGATGCGGTTCAAAAAATAAACGCTGTGTTCCTCCCTTACAAGACATGCTTTTTTTCCCCTTCCGACACTGTGCAATTAGTGACAAATAATGAGCAACGTAGCGTTTGGCATTTTGTTACAGTACGTTGCTTCAGCTGCGGTAATAGCTGAACACAAGCAAAATGATGAAAGTTTTACGAGCCAACCACGAAGACAAAAGTTCTGGTAGGCTCTCGAAGGCGAGTCAATGGAAAGTCGATCGCGTGGGCTCTTTTCTGGGCGAGGGCAGTACTGTATGACTCTCTAAGCTTCAGAAAAAAAAAATAATAGACGGAATACTAAAAATCTACCGAGTGAAAGAACACACACGAAAGTGAACAAGAAGGAACGCTAATCTTCGTAATAGGGAGTAACCTTAGTAACCTTGAGCACTTAATGTCTCACTGCACGCTTTTGCATCATTCAGACGCGCACAGCTTAATTTGCCCCGTCTTCTGCGTCCGAGGCGCACTAATTACCGCCGCCGCTTGTTTGCGTGCTCACTGGACCGCACACTCGCTCCTCCTCCTCTTGGTGAAGACGTCTTTCTTCGGAGGGCTCCGACAGACAGGTGGGAGCGGAGGAGTCACGCGTTTATGGCCAGTGCGACTGAATGCGCCCCTGCGGAGAATGGAGTCAAAGAAGTGGAACAGAAAGGGGACCCCGGCCATTGTGAAGCGCCGCCAGAGTCGGTGCGGCGATTGCGCGCGGCACGCAAGAGAGGTGCCCCAGGGGCGATTCGCGCGCGCGCACCCTCGCCTGTTGCGTATATATTCGCCGGCTTCTGACACGTCCGAGAAACATCTTTCTTTTCCGAAAGAGCCGATCCATAAAAGCGGACCCCCCCTCTCCTAATCCACATCTTCGAGCGTGCGATTATGAAAACTTCATCGCGTTGTGTGGTCCCGCGCCGCGCGCAGATAAAAAGACGAACCGAAAGCGCAAAAAAATACCGAGCTCGCCTGGGAAAGAGCGCAACAAGGAAGCAGGCACAAAATGATCGCCCGCTCTCCTCCTCAGCGTCGCTAGGAGACCGAAGAACCAATCGCGTGGCTCTAATGACATCACGTGGTGCGTACAGTGGCGCTCCTCTGGACAACAGCGGCGCCGGTCGGCATTGGTGTGAGCGTGTGTGGTTTTGTAATGGAGATGGCTGTCGGTTGATATTCTCGGGGTCGAGGAGCTGGCGGCTTCTCGGCCGCCCTTGTGCTTTTCACAGTAACATCTTTTCCGGATACGTGGTCGGTCGGTGAACAGTATTGCCCCGTCCGTGAGCTGTGTGATTTGGCAAGCGTGGTGTTTGGGGCCCGTGTTTTTGTGTGCGCGTGTGTGTGCGGCGCCCGGCTTGGTTTTTCTTTCGCGTTCGGTTAGCCGCGAGCTCGTGCCCGTGTGAACGTCGCGCATGTCTATGTGTTCGATGCGAGACCCGAGAAACTCTGGCGCTATCGCGCAACGATGTCGAATACCGGCGAGAGGCGTCGGACATTTTTGAGCTGGGCGAGATGAGCCCCAGACCATCATCGTCGTACTGCAGGAGACACGATCTTGGTCTTCTGACGCGCACAAGCTGGACGGATGCTCGCACAGCGGTTCGCCAGATTGAGAAGGTAAGCCGCTAAACGTTACTTAACACAAGAAACCCAAGCACTTCCCGTAACGCCTTTCCGTATGAGCCCGCAGAAGCGATCGGGCGAGCGCGTTTGCAGCCGCGTAGCTGGCTTCACTCGCGAGCGACGGTCAAACCCGCACCGTTACGACTTTGATGTCTCAATTGGCTGGCCGTCCGGTCCGGTCGGCGCTTGTTGCGTACAGCTCTATCGTTGGCTGCGAAATCGCTTCGCGTAGTTGCGTGACGTGTGCTTTTCTCGTGTTTTGAAGGTGTTTCTATTGTGACTCCGCTGTTCTCACGGTTGTTCTAATCAACTTCGAGCAAGGACATCGACGGAAATGCTGTTCAATCTCTGAATGATTAAAAGTTCGCGTGTGGTCAATCTGCACGTTGTCTTTAGGACGCCGGCGCGAAATATACCACTCGCAAAACTTGAGCGAGTCGTATGTTTCAAGCCGGGCGCTCTTCCGAAACCGTAACTTGAAGCCGCGCTTATCAGTGCGCGTGCTGGTCGTCCCGAGTAGCGTAGTAAGTAGTGGAGCAGCTAAGGAGTAGTATGCGCGCTACGTCCCCGCTTCCGCAATCAACAAACTGTGCGGCATATATTTCGTCGCTCGCTACGTGGGGGGCAGGTTTCTCTGACCTCGTTTTTTTTTTTCTTCCTACGCGCGGAGCTGTCACTTCGCTTGATGTCTTTATATCTCTCTATGCGAAGTAGCCTTCGCGTAGACGTCCGGAAAGCAAATACGAGGTGGTGCGGAAGCAGGTGCGGGTTCTTTTGCCCTGCTGTACCGTGCTACAGTGGACTTGCACAAGGTTATAACTACGTGACTCCCTCACTACTTTTTGTGAGAACTGTAGACGCCGAAAGCAGGGCGTGCGTTGTTCTGCCATGTAGACAGACCATTCGACAGAAAACGGCAGTCTCCGGCTTTCCACGGCGGCCGCAACAAATCGAGCAGCGCAGCTTGCGGATGAACACATCTCGCGAGAGCTGACAGCAACCGCTCCTCCTTTGGGAAGCCCCCCTTTGCTCCCCCCCCCCTCCAACGCCGCCACCCCTGTGGGGGTCAGGCGTCCCCAATTTTATTTATGGGGGAAGGCGCACGGAGGGGCCCCAAGATGGATTCCTCAGCGCGGGTGGTCCCCGCACCCCCCTCTTCTTCGAAGAAGCCGTACCCCCCCACCCACTCCCGGCGGGAAGCAAGCTGCCTCTTCGGTACTGCCCCGCGTGAACTGAACCGCGTGGCGTCTTCGGTGACGTCTCTGTTCAGGTATGCTTGAAAAAAAAAACGAAAAAAAAACGGCACTTTTCTTTACGAGCAGAGGGACTGGTCAATCGTGGATCGCGGCAAGTTAAGCCTGTAGTTCATGATCGTAATGAACACGCTTTCGGGTTTTGCGCCGTGCTGGCTGACAATGTGACCAATATCGGGCAGAAGTAAAAGGCAATACAACGTACAGCAGTGATCGAGGGTGTAATACACGTGCGAGATGCTCCGATTCGAACCAACTAGCTGCGTGGCGCCCGTTCGATTGCTTTGCAACGCACCGCCCGCAAAAAGACCGCACGGCTTACGTTTCTATCACAAAATCTGAAGATCGCCATCCACTGTAGGGCAGCTGCGTGCCGACTTGTAAGGCACTTTTTTTTTTACTTGATTCGAGCGTGTGTGCGCAAGAGATGAATGTTTGCGCGTAGGTGTCTGGTTGGTTGGGCTGTTTCGTAAGATCGCGCCCGTGTGTGTGTGGTCGCTTCCCTCTCCCTCGGTAGTACACACTGCTATCCGGGGAGCCGGTCGGCCAGTGTTGGTGGCACGCGCATTCGCGGAAGCTGTGTGACCGCCCGCTCGCCTAGCGAACCGAACTGTGCAGTGCGTCCCGTCGTGCAGCCCAGTGCGAGGGCACGGTCACTCGCATTCTCTTGCTTACCAATTTACTGCGCTGTCCTTCCTCTCAGTCGTGGCTGCAGTGAAGAAATTGCGGGCCGCACAGTTTGATTGTACGGTTCGTTACTTGAGCTATGCTCACCATACTTGAGCCGAGAGATGCCACTTATGCTTTCGGCACAATGAGCGGCATTACAGGCACAGCCTTGCACATGCTTTAGTGGCTGCTTCCGAGCCACGTTTTGCTTACAAAGCACTCGGTACATTTCATATCGGTTGCCGAGGGTTGAGCGCCAACCAAGCAAAAAGCCGAATTGGTTCATTTGTGGTAGGAGATTCACAAAAAACAACGAATCATTTCGGAGTGGTAGATGAATTGCCCTTTCAAGTAACAATCGGCGGCCGTGTTTTCAAATTTCGCGCCCTAACTGAATTTGGGTGACGTCAGCATGATACCACTGGCGTTGAGGATAATTTTTGTGCGAGTGATGGGGTTTGTTTTTGTACATCTACGAATGTTGCATGCATCGACTTTCGTTTTTTGCCCCAAAAGCAGTTGAAAAATGCTTCGAGTTAGGGTTGTTACTAAAGGCTAACGTTCGATTCGAAAATTGACCAACTAGCCCAAACATCTTTGACAGCGCAGTTTCTGATATTCAGCTTGCAAAAGCATGACCTTCGAGATTAGTGTTGGTTATTTATTTGAAACTACTTCTGGGGTGTGTTCGAACATCACCTCTTATGTAGCCTGCCCACAATTCGCTCGAAGGTATGGTTAGAAGTGACGCAAAGTTCTGATTACAGATAACTTTGACTATTCGAATCCACTTGCGGTGCGTGCGATAAGACAATGCATGATCTCCGAGGTCGGAATCGATTAAGCCTTGTGATGCAGGTGCATTAGTCGAAGATGAAAAACAATTATTATTCCTTTCATAAACCACATGAGCAGCAATGTCAAGCGACCGAAGATATCAAATTTGAACTTGCTGTAGAAAATCAGCCTAGTCATATGAACAATAGATGAAATGTTTTAATATAAATTTATGGGACACTAATGCACACTTGACCCTTGAAGTGATTTCACAACGCTGCTAGCTGCTCTGTGGTAATGACATCACCATGTATTGTGTCTGATAATACAAGGTGAGCTCTGTAACTGTCTGCATCCACTCCTTTGCAGACAGTTATGGGGCTCACTTTTCTCTTTAAGAATCACGTAAGAAGGTATGCATAAATATTGGCGAGAGGAAGAATACATTTAATCTGGGATGTCCATTTGTGCCGTCAAGACATTTACAAAGTGCTATTGCAACCCATGGTAGAAGATTGGTGGGGGTGCCATATTGTAAAAGTGCATAATCGGCTGTGCTGAAGCTGTCTGTGCTGTGTGTGAAGTGATGGGATTGTTATTCCCGGCATTTACATTGTTTGTTCGGAGACTGAATTCTGAAACACCACACACAGGTTAAATTAATATTGATTCCACTAAACACAGGTGTGATATTTAAGTAATCGCCGGAATCAAATGCTTGCTTACATTTGTTCTCTCGCATTTTGAATGTGTCTCAGATACTTTCCAAAGAAACATTTGAGATGGTTGATTGAGTTCTTAACGGGTGTGTGGATGTGATACCTTGCTTAGAGCTCATGCCTTGAGACTCTCTCTCTTTTGACCACTTTTGACAGCATACCCAGTTCTATGCGAGCTTGATCACTGGCTAAACTGCCAAAGGTGACAAATTTTTCGATTGGTTAGAATTCCTGCGATTGTTTCTTAATGTTACACTGTGGTTGTACACAACAGGCACTCAGAAACACCTCTCAATACTAAGGTGCAAGTATTCATACGTTTCAGTTTGTGAGAGCAAATTGTGCCAGTAGTTAGGATGGTGTCTGATTTATTGTAATAGTTTGTTACACACAAGCGCTATTTATGACTTGCACATGATGTCATTAATGCAGGATTCTTAGCTTATTGCTGCTCCACCATGGCAGCTTTGACGACGTCAAGGCAGCCTATTCATGTGGCTGTAGACCTGCTCTCCGCATGAATAACATAAGTACTTGCGGGCGATTTGCTGTTAACATTCACGTCACATCACAACCTTTTCATCCCACCGCATTGGTACTCCGGCATGACAGTTTCCTTTACATCAGTGCTACCTATGTAATGTTCAGCTGCATGTTGCAATAAATGATTGACGTGTAACCATCTGCCGCTTGCAGGGCCGCGCCAGTGGTGGCCGCTGGTCACTGCTCTTGCGCGGCCAACTCCAGGGGCAGCTTGTGCAGCTGGGTCGGTTCATCGACCGCAATGCGGGCAAGGTGCTCTTTGTCGGACTTCTGGTGCTCGCCACGTTTTGTGTGGGCCTCAAGTCAGCCCACCTTGAGACGGACGTTCACAACTTGTGGGTGCAACGCGGTGGACGGCTGGAGCGCGAGCAAGCATATGTGCGGTCGACGCTGGGTGAGGGTGCGGGCACCAGTAGCCAGCTCGTGATTCAGACAGCGCCCCCGGCTGGCGATCTCCTGAGGAGGCCCGAAGCACTGCTGTCCCACCTCGATGCCCTCTCCCGGGCCACCCAAGTCACTGTGGACATGTTCGAGCTCACCTGGCGGCTCAAGGACCTGTGCTACGCTCCTAGCTTCCCCACTTTCGACGAGAGCTACGTGGACGACATGCTCGAAAAGCTTTTACCCTGCATCATCGTGACACCCCTCGACTGCTTCTGGGAAGGGTCCAAGCTCCTTGGGCCCGAGATTCCGGCTCACATCCCGTGAGTGGTGCCTCTCCTTTTTGAAATTATTTCACGTCTCACCATCTGGAGACTATAAATTGGATACTATTAGGGTAATGCTTAGAGTGATTTGTCAGAGAAGAACACCTAGATCCAATGCTTATAGTTTTGCTGATTGATGGGTACACATCACCAAATTTAGTCAGCCATAAGCCAACACATTGAAATGCTGTTCTTTTTCTTTACCCCTGCATTTCTTCTTTGCAGCTTGGTTATGTCAGCACACCTATGTTGCCATTTCTTAAGTATTGCTGAAGAGCTAATGAACTGATCGCCATAAAGTGCTATGGCATCAACCTTGCTGCACTTTAAATTTCCTTAGCTAATTTTTTTAGCTTTATTGCAATTTCGTATAGTATAATGCACATACTTTATATTTTTGATTGTGCCAGTGTAATTAGCACATTGCTATATGCATCCCTTTATGCCTGGCTGCAAACTTTAATACAAATTATGTATTGGTATTGGTTCTTAATTGATCTTTTGAAGTGCCGGAACCAAGTAGTCGCCAAGATTATCATTCTTGCACAAACAATATTTGAGATACTTTCAGTTTCTCAGCGTTAGGTCTGATCATCACTGCATGCGTCATTCTCTATGAGTGACTGCATTCCTGGTGCGATACACAAATGGCAAACTACCTGTAGATGTATTTTGTCCGATTAGCACAAAATATGTCAAATGGTGAAAGGGTCTCTAGATGTGATTGTGTGACAGTACCCCGCCAGAGTTCACTTTCCAAAATTTAATTCTTTCCTGTTGCGAAGCAACTTTCATAATGACCAGAAAAAATGATTAGCTGACTTTGATTGAGGCACTCTAGCTTGATTCATGTAAAATTTGTGCACTTTGTTTGCAAAACATTAAAACTGAGTTTTTTTTTCTGCTTAAATGTGTGTTTTTGAATAGGCTTTTTCCTCCCGGTCCAGAATTCTAGGTTTTGGCGTACAATGGACAGATCTGAACCCACAGCGTTTAGTTGGCGAGATCCAGAAAGTGGCAACCTTTGGTGGATCCTTCCCATTTGACACCATCCAAGACTTCATGCGGAGGGTAAGTACAAGTTCACCTGTCGCGGGAACCGAATACCTGGCATAATTTAAAGAGGCTGTATGGGCCCTTTTGAATAACCGAGATTGGCAAGACTGTATGTTGAATTGGAGGCAATGTGGCACAGTAGTCTAGAAGTCTAGAGCAACGCATCTATTGCAGTTCATCTAAGCACTTAGGATTAGTAATAGCGAAAACTGTTTGGTGTCATTATCTCCGTCACCCTTTTTTTTTTTAACTGACAGTCAACTAGCCCTGCCTATGCACTAAAGATCCATAACGTTGACTCAACCTGTCATTAGTTGCATTGTTGTCATAGTAGCAGTGTTGCTACAAATTTTTCGCACTTTGTAAAAGTGGCCACCTTACTGCAATTGCAGAAATTTGACTTAACAATACCTCTTAACATGACATTCCTCATTATTGCTCTTCAATTGATGCTTTAAAACACACTATGTCAAAGACGAGCATGTTTGGTCATTTATGTCGGAGACAACAGGATTTCTAATTTTTAACTTGCTTAATTGCTCCAATGTGGCCTCTGCGTTAACATAGTTTTTAAGAATATTTGGTAAAACATATTTAACTTATGGGAAGCTAGTTATCACATTTCCTCATGTATTACCATTGCTATGAATTCACATTAGCTAGCATCAGTTTCACTTTAGATTTCTTGCTTTTAACAGTTGCTGTGACACCCCGTATAAGAGTGAAAAGGTAGTCACATTCACACAGCAGTAATCAATCGCACAGGGGTAGTCGCATTGTCTGACAGTGTGTATTCTGGCATTGTTGAACGGGGCTTTTTTACAGGAGGCGTCACGGGAGGCGTTTGTCCTTATTTTCCGTACTCTTATGCCAGTTGGAGATGAAATATTTTTAATTTTCGCTGTTTAGTGGCATCGAATGTGAGCCAAAAAAACAGTGTTGCTAATAATTTATAAATCGAGGAGATACAGTGCAAACATACACCCACAAAAGAGAGAAGACAATGGACACACTCAGCATCTCTGTGTCCATTGTCGTCTCTCTGTGTGTCCATTGTCATCACATGCTGAGGTTAGTGTAAATGAGCGTGTTTTATATTCGGTCAACAAACAGGCGGGCATCACGTCGGCATACCAAGAGAAGCCGTGCTTGGACCCGAGCGACCCCCGCTGCCCGGAAACGGCGCCCAACAAGCGTTCGGGGCGGGCGCCCGACATCGGTGCACAGCTGACAGGTGGCTGCTACGGTTTCGCCACGAAGTACATGCACTGGCCCGAAGACCTTATCGTTGGAGGCGTTCAGAAGAACCGGTCAGGGCACATTGTTCGGTAAGACATCGCTCGCCACGGCACTGCTATGTAACGAAAGAGATCTGGTGAATTTCACTGATACGTCATTTGAGAGGATGGACAAGAACCATTGAATCTGGCAAATGGGTAAATTCAGTAAGTTCAACCTGGTGGAAGCATGATGCTTCTTGCTAGGTCATAGTGAATGTGCTGAGGTTCTCAATCCAGAGTATCTTTTTGGCTTCATGTGGAGTTCAGTATTCTGAAGCAGCGAGAGAATCTCTCAAGCCCCCTGCAAAACAGTGGTGGACTTGTGTAGTTGCTGTAGTTAGAAGGTTTTTCTCTATATTGAATGCATTCATATGCAGTCAATGCGAATGCATTGCCGAAAATCCTTAGCACAGATAAGTTAGTTCAAGCTACTTTAAGTGTCTTACACAACGGGAGGGATTCAGCATCCTTAGAGATCCAGAGCAAGCACTGGATTGTGTGTTTGCTCCATGCTGAAAGGAATCTGTATGCTTCTAGTATGAGACTTAGCTCTTCACCACTACTGTCGAAGCCAGAAATGTAGTGTTGAGACAACTGATGAGGTTTCGCAAAATGCACGTTGAAAAATGCTTCACATCGTTGAGGCAAGAATTTTTAATGGCTCGTTGAATGATAATCAGCGTCCCCTCAGCAGTGCAAGCAGATAAATCTCGACAGCTTCTGAGTGCGCTCCTCCCGTGCACAGGGCGGAAGCATTGCAATCGGTCGTGCAGCTGATGGCAGAGCGGGACATGTACCACTACTGGAAAGGTCACTACCGGATGGCTCACCTCGACTGGACCATGGACAAAGCGCGGTCCATCCTCGAGGCCTGGCAGCGTAAATTTGCAGAGGTAAGAAGAATGGGCAAGGAGCATCACGCGTCCGGTTGAAAGAGATGACACTGATTCAGGATAGGTTGGACACAGTGTGGAGATTACATACATGATTAACTAGATTAGTGATGTTTGAAGATGTCGAACTTGTTTGACCTGACTGGACATCATTTAGAGTTGGGTTTCGTTCGACGACTGATTTATTAAACTTTCAAGCCTCTTTAAGTAAGAGTGCTTTAGAGATACGTTCTATGGATGCCTCTATGGCAGGGCTGGGCAAAAAAAAATTGAAACACCGTCCGAAACTCTTGATGGCCATTCTACTTATTAAACAGGCTTTCAAAACACTAAGGGGAACATTTTGTTGAGTTTTTACATGTTTCGCAGAATGGGATATAAATGTTTCGATTTCACGCCACATCACTTCGAGACAAGAAGTGCCCAAACTACAAGCTGCTGCATGCGTAATTTTGCAGTGAGTCACTTGAAAGCATCTTTGTGATGTCATTAGACTTTCAATTGGACACTTCGTTTCTTGGCGATGGAAATGCTTTAGATGCTTCATCACACTTTTACCTGCACAAGTGAAAAAGCGGAACATTTTCGTGTTCTGGCCATGCAGCCTAGAACACAGATTCGCACTCTGTGACGTCGAGGCACATTGAATCCCGGTTGGTTGAAACTTCCGGAGCCCTCCACTACGGCATGCCTCTCAATCGTATTGTAGCTTTAGGCTGTGTAATCCAAGTCATTAATGAACTCAGATTAGTGGCCTAGAGTAAGATGTAAAAACAACAGTGTGGTAGTGCTAAATACACTCAAACCTCTATATAACGAACCAAAATATAAGAAAATATCGGTTATAACAAAGTAAATGAAAAATAGTCTTGCAATAAAGTGTTAGAAATTTACATTTATAACGAATTTTTGGATTTAATGAACTCATTTTCCTGAAAGATTCAACTTTGTTATAATGAATTTTGAGTGCTAACCGTATCTGCACCTATAAGGCATATACTAGAGTTCATGAAACACCTCCGTAATAAACTTTCACTCGACGCTGTCATGCTGTATTGCTCGTGCATGCCGACCGAGCGGGAATGCAATTCAGCTGCACGTTCAGAAACCCCAGGTGGGAAGGAATAATCCAGGGTTCCTCACCCCGGCATGTCTTATGATCATATCCTGGCATTGGAACCGAGAAAACCCGGAATATAATTTATTAATGCCAAATAACCTATTTATTCATGCCCGGAACAAGTGAATCACTCATGCTTACCTTGTTTTCTTCTTTGGTATGTGCAACTAACTATGATGTTTTCTTTTTCTTTTTGGCATGCCTACAGGACCTGAAGGAACCTTGCATGCATGTCAGGTACTGGACTTGGATGCCCTTCTTTCTGTTTCACTGTCTAATAATAATGCATGCTCGCTTCACTTACAGCTTGAACTGACTGCTAGTTTTATCCCGCATTGCCCGCTGAAAATGTGTGGGAGCTTTCCTTTCTGCCAACCACAGCTGCCGTTTTTTCACACCGATAATCTGCATAAAAAAAAATTACTGTAAATGCAAAATGGAAGAGCAGGTTTTTACAAGAATGTCTTCTTTTATTCCTGTCGTGGTTTCACTGCAGAGTTACACTTTATGCTGTGAAGCCAAAATATGTTTTTGCAGCCATACACATCGTTTCACACGGCACATGAAATGCTTTAGACGATAGTGAGACTTCTTTTAGTTGCTGTGTTTACACCAAGAAATAGAGAAATGATTTTATCATGATTTTGTTTGAATCTTATTTGATGATTTTGTTTGATCTTGTTTTTATACCATGTAATAAATAAAAATGTTTTGTGCCTTGGAAATAAAAAGACCTCGATCAATGTATGTTCACTAATAGGTTGTTTTGGACTGCATAACGTTTTTTTATTTTCTTATCGTAGCCTCCCCGATTAGTTCTAGTAGAGCACAGCCAGAGCCACTTGCGGGGGCTAAATTTACAATGACGAAATCCAAGCACGATATGCGTGGACTTTCAAATTTTTGGCTGACCACTTTTTGCATAACTTCTACAGCATTGCGCCTGGTTTATCAAATGGAGCATAGGTCAATGAGGTTGTAACATTTATGAGTATCTACGAAATCAGTTCACTACTTTACCTTTTGTTCTTGCCAATACATGGTCGAATTCGTTCATGTACAGCGTGAGGGTTTCGCTGTGAACCTGTGTTTGTGGCTTAGTTGCTGGCTTTCTTTTCGTCTATTCGTCCTGTCTGGAGGTTGCGCATGGGTGCGCCGGTATGCACGCCCTTGCGTACTGTTGTCCCTGAAGATATCCTGAACTCCTGGTGGTCAGCAGTTTTAAATAATTAACGCTAGTAGTTATGTCTGTCCTGTAGACTTTGCTATTAAATGTGTGTGAACACAGATTGGCTTCTGTCATATGAAAGGGGTACTGACACAAAAATCTTGGTCTCTCCGTTTTTTAGCTGCAATGTGTTCCTGGGGGCCTGTTAGCCGTATAACACAACACCTTGCTTTCTGCAGTGCGTGACATAATTACAGGCTTGTTATTACCGACCCATATCGCATTTGGTCTCAAAAACAAGCCACCTGGAGCAACGCTCACCACCTAGCGGGTGCAAAACTCAACCGTATTAACACACGGAACTGTGACGCCCTTCCGCTCGTTTCGCATCAAGAAGTTTATTGAACAGGAAACGGGACGGCAATGTCGTCAAACACAAAACTTTCAAATCGTATGCCACGCACTCGCGAGCAGCTGCCAAGTTATAGTCTGCTGGAGCAAATGGGACCAAAGAAAAAAATTGCCCGCAGCTCCCCTCGGGGGAACACTGAGGAGGATGCGGACCATATAATTGGTTAACGGGGTGTTAAAGTGCGACTTACTTGGGTCGATGGCTAAATTGGTTAACGTGGTTGTGAAATGGGGTGTTAAATTGCGACTTACTTGGGTCGATGGCTAAATTGGTTAACGTGGTTGTAGGAGGGGGTGTTAAATGAGTGAACACGTACACACGTATGCGAAAGGGCGGCGCTGGTCGAAGGGACGTCGATCATTGTGTTTGTGGATTCGTTGGAATTCATTTCACCGCGACCTTGAACGTCGACGCGCCGTACAAACCAACCGACGAGCGGCAACTGAGCGAGCGAGCGCCGACCTTGAGTATATATACAGCACGACGGCGCATGCACTGTCAGCTGTTGAATGTTCTCGAAGCGCGACGCCACATGCGCGTCCACTGGAGAATCAGGAGATGTCGAACGCGGTGTGTAGAGGAGGAAGGGTGCACAGATGGTGGAGGAGTGAAGCGCGCGCGGTGTGTAGAGGAGGAAGGGATGCACAGATGGTGGAAGAGTGGGCGACGGCGCATGCGCGCGCGTCAGCTGTCGAATGTTTGAGAAGCGGTGCGGACGGCGCACTACAAGGCGCGAGTATAAGATGCTCCGCATCTAAAAACGGTGGCTATGACGTCATCATAACTTGCTTCAGTGTGGTCACGTGAGGGAAGTAGAGGGTCTCTAGGAGTCTTCCTCGAAGGTGCCAATAGTGCAATGGAGTCGATCGCTCACACATACTTCGAAATTAACTCAAAAAACCTTCCAAGCTATCTTTGCTGTTGACATTTCGCAGATGATATAACGCATATTCATATGAATTAATCCCGCAGGCTATCTCGCCCGCGAAATTTCGTGTCAGTGCCCCTTTAATCTTAAAGTAATGCCTGTCCTGTTACAGTAGCTGTAAATACGAGAGGCTGAATAGGTTGTGCCATATGGCGGGGCCAAAATAAACCACACAGGTACAAAATTGTTATTGAAGGAAACATGCTGCATTCTGCTTCTCTGTGGCTGGTATAAATTCCTTGCAGTGGCCTAATTCAAAATAGGTTGCTTTACGAATTCGTTTTCCCTCGAAAACATTCGACAAAAACATCTTTATAATTGTGGTTGGACAAGGTGCCACGTGGTGTTCCTACCATTGTTCATGCCCCTCTTTGCATGTAAACCTCTGTTATTTATTGCTACAGCAGTGATTGAAATTTAATGAACTGTCACTTAAATGCAGTTATCATCATCGTTTAGTTGCTTTGCACAAATGCATTCGTTTAGGAATGGGGAGATGAAACGTCACTAAAACATGCGTTCCAGTATCAAAACAACAACAACAACAAAAGAACTACATTAAAAACTCTATGGACAGGCTGAAAACCTTTGACATTATTTATAACCATTATATTTTAGAGTAAGACAATACTTCGTCATAATCAGGTTTAATAATAGCAGCATGATTGCTAACGACTCAATCAAACTCTGCTTTCTTGCTACTTTCATGCGCCTGATTGCCACTCCCTTTTCAGGAGATCCTGCGACAGGATGCATCATTCGAGTACCGCAACACTACGCGGCGGCCGATCGGCGATCTGCACGTGTTTACCGCGACGTCGCTCGCAGACGTCATGAAGGACTTTTCGCAAGTGAGCCCGGTTCGTGTGGCGCTTGGCTGCCTGCTGATGGTCGCCTATGGCTGCATATCGCTGTGGGCCGCTGCTGCCCGCGACAATCCCTGGGGCAGCGCAATCCTGGGCACTCTCGGAGTCCTTCTGTCCGTGGCTGCCGTCGGGGCTGGCCTAGGCCTCTGTGCCCTGCTTGGCCTGCCGTTCAACGCGGCCACCACTCAGGTGCTGCCATCGCTGGCGCTGGGTTTGGCCCTGGACACGCTGTTCCTTCTCGATCAGGCTTACCGGCAGGGAGCTAGGAGTCGGCCCCCGTATGAACGCACTGCACAGGTAAGACTGGAATCTGCTCAACTTAAGAAACCATGTGCACTCAAGGCAGAAGTTTAGAGACCATGAGGCACAAGAAAAGTTAAAAACTTTCGCTGTGTGGGCAAGCAGTATGGAGTTTAAATTCCAGCCTGTTCTGAAACGTGCAAAAAAAAAAATATGTATATTGTACACTCAAACCTTGATATAATGAACCCGGATATAACGAAATATTGGTTATAATGAATTATATGAAAAATAGTCTTTGAATAGATACTGTAGCATTAGGAATGAACCTTTATAACAAATTTTTGGATATAACGAACTTATCTTCATGTAAGGTGCAACTTTGTCATAATGAGGTCTGAGTGTATTTTAAGTGAATGCAGCCCCTAATTCCAGATAAATTCAAAGTTTTCACTGACCTAGTGGTCTCAATAAACTTTTGTTGTGCACTGTACCTAACAACATGTCTGATGTACCTGGGGTAATGCGCTGGTTATAGACTACAGAATCTCGATAAAGGAAAGTACTGCGGACTCTCTGTGAATGGAAATCCGTTGAACAGAACTCCTGCTGAATCGAACCCCTGCCGCTGATATGGCTGATTTCATGCCTGAATGCTACAACCCAGTTCTTCTATCGGTAAACTGGACACCTGTTAAATGGAACACATTTTGCCAGTCCCTTCACATTCCGCTTAATGAGTGTCGACTGTAGTTTACAGCCTTAAGGTGGTTAATAGAACAGCCTTATAGTTGTTCGTTTGCAATTTAAAGACTATTTTTGCAAACTATACTTATTGCAACATCCTGATGTGGTGGTGCTGTGCTCTCGAGGATTTGCTAAGGATATACCGCCTTCATCCTATGGTGACACACATAGAGAAATAGCTACACAGCTGGTTGTGTTTGCAGATGTGGTCATTCATAGTTTCTACACTACCCAGGTGCTGAAATGCGTCGGGCCGAGCGTGCTGTTGGCGTGGGCCGGTACGGCCGGTGCATTTTGCGCAGCTGCACTGATCCCCGTGCCGGCACTTGCGGGCTTTTGTGCTTCAGGCTGCAGTGCTGCACACCTTTGGCACGGCTACCATGCTCCTCTTGTTTCCAGCTGCAGTCAGCGTAGATCTCAGGCGAAGCCGGCACAGCTGGCAACAGTGCTGCTCAGCCTGAACATGCGACAGTTGTGGTGGCTGCTGAAGGGTGCGTAAATTTCACTCCCTGGGGTCGGTGTAGCCTGTTTGTGCTGAGATGGTGTGTATGTGTGTGTCACATTTCAGCTGTTGCAGTGTGCAGGAGCATTACATCTGCACTGCGGCAGTTTTATGATTGTTTTTAACACGAAAGTGTGTTATGCTGACCACAGGCTCCGCTGATGTATTTTCATTGTGGATGTGACGTAAAATGTACTCATGGCAAAACAAAAATTTGGAGAAAAATTTTCATCGTTGGGAGTCAGATATGCGGTGTGTGGCACAAAAAGACTTCGCCTCAAAGTGCATGTTTTTCGGCTTACTAACACAAAGTTATTTGTACACCACTTACCCTTGGCTGTAATCGTGCATGGTGATTGTTCTCCATTTTCGACAAACCTCGAAATATTAGTCTTCAAGCGATTGCCAGTGTGCCAGAGAGCGCTTGCTATGGTACAGTGTACGGGTGATTCTACGTGCAACAGATTCTACGTAGCCCGTCACACGTTGAAACCGTTGCAGCAGTTCTGACGCCTGCGAGGTTTAGTTTTGCCGAGGAGCTGTTAAGCTTTTCTTTATGCCGTTGTGATGACACTAGAGAATTGTTGTTACGAATCAGCGCGCACCCTCTTTCGTCCTTTTCTTTCATAGTCTGCTTTGCTCCCAGGACATCCCACGCTGGTTTGTCCGATGTGGGATGCTACTGCACTGATCGATAAGAGATTGAGTGCAGAGGTAGGAAGAATAAGAGAAAGAAGGAGAAGAAAAAGAGGGGGAGAAAAAGAGGGAGCAAGCCTTGCCATGTATAGTGTAGTATACCGAGAAAGGGGGAAGGAAAGCGAGGGTGGGGAGGAGGGTAGTGCCACCAGCTTTGCCGTTTCGTCATTCTTCGCACCACTACTGCATAGCTACCGCAGTTTTTTTTTTAAAGACAACAATAAAATACTGACCACTCATGTCACCAATGTCTGAGCACACCTCTGGTGTAGTAGGTGAATGTGATAAAAAAAAAATAACAGGACACAAGATTTGTTTGCAGGGACGATAAAGACAATGAGGACAGCTGCTTAACAAGTGCTTTTTTTTTGTTCCTTTTTTTTATTTGCACAGGGACTCGCAAGCTCGATCCACTGCAAGACCAGCGACAGTGGTAGCAGTTGGGCCCATGGAAACTTGGGTGGGGGCAGGTTGGTAACTATTTTTCAACGCTGTGGTGCAGCTCTTCGTGTGCGGTTTGATGCGGTTAGCCGACTTTTTTCAGCTTTGCTAAAGAAACGGCTGCTAGTGTGTCTCAAACAGTGTATGCTGATTGAAGCCGATGTGCAGCCAGCTTAAACCGTACATTAATAGCAACTTGATGAGGGCTAGATGGTCCATATTTAGACCAAAAAAAATTAACAGCGCAAAAGAAACAAGGAGGATGAAGAAATGAAGACCAAGGGGCAAGCGCTTGCACGTAGTCTTCATTTGTTCATTGTGCTTGTTCCTTTCACACTGTTATTTTCTTTGGTCTAAATTTGCACATCCGTGGCCATAGTTTCATTTCACAGCTTTTGCAAAAGGTTGTGGTCACTGTTCTTAGAAGTGAGCAGCGTTGATAATGGAAGCTGTCTCGTGCAGATGCCGCTCGTGTGGTCAACGTGAAGCAGGACGAGAGGCAGTGCTGGTGGTCCCTAGGACTACTTTGCCAGCCACTATTATGCACCAATGTTGCAACAGACACCGGTGAAAGTAAGTAGATTATACTGCCATTTGAATACCCACTAGCATTGGCTATGTTTTTTTTTTCTTGTGTTGGCTCAGATCTATAGAAAGTATAGCTATGCAAGTTCTGTTGAACTTCGTAATGGAGTTGTGGTGAACAGAAAAAAATAAATAAGCTGGAAGTCCTTTGTTATGAGTACCCGACATTTGTGTATTCGCTGATATTGGCAAGGAAGAACTAGTGGTCAGATGAATTTGTACGTAGTGCGGACGTGATGCCTCTGCCTCATCGATTCAGGATTGTCTATAACATGTGAGACGCACATTGTCTGAGCATTTACACTTGCGACTCCAGGTTCTGACCGTGCTGGGCCTGGTGGCACTCCTGGCGGCATCAGGTTGGGGTGCCCTGCGTGCGGACGAAGGCTTGGACTTGGCCGAAGTGGTGCCTGGCGGCAGTCGCGAGCAGGCCTTCCTGAAGGCGCAGAGCCACTACTTCGGGTTCTTTCACATCTTTGCCATAACGCGGGGCAACTTCGAGTACCCGACAAAGCAGAAGCTTCTGCTGGAGTTTCACGAGGCGTTCACTTCGATCGAGCACATCATCAAGAACGACGATGGGGGCCTGCCTGACTTCTGGCTCACGCTCTTCAGGGACTGGCTGCGAGGTCAGTTCTGGTTCGGTTAGGTCACTTCGAATCGGTTGTTAACACGTTCACTGCGGCATGGGTCACTGGTGGGCCACGGGCAGTGCTCTCCTCCTAGGCAGCTGCAATGTTATGACGGTGCATCTGCTTGCTGATGCGATAAATTCATCAAACATGAACACAAAGGTACGATTCTTGTTGCGAGAGGTTATAAATCGTCAGAAGATATTTTTTCTGGTATTAGATGCCATGACCCTCTGGTGGGTCATGGCATTTAAAAAGAGACCTCAAGAAAACTTGCCACAGCAAAAATTTAATGGGCATTACAGCTCTGCATGCACCATCATTGCAGTACTGCAATGAAAAACCCATTGTGTGTATCTAATGAAGTGGCTTATTTTAATTCATTAGGTAACCGGCAAACGAGCTGCAGATGCAAGCTGTTCCAGAAAGCTTGCATCTCAGCCCCTTTATTCACAGCCCCTTTATTCCTTTCAGCAGCAGGCTTACTGGATATACACTAGGCTCCCAGTTAATGGAAAATCTCTTAAAGGGAATTGCTGTTTTAACAGAACTGCCTCTGGTTCGTTTCTTTTTCAATTCTGTGACCTGTTAAGGGGGCAGACTGGTCTTGGACATTTTTTTGTTTATTTCTTGAGTGATCTTGATCAAACTGCACAGGATTATGCAGTTTTTTCTGCACATTTCAAATAATTAATTAGTTTTCTTGTAACTCATCTTGTTTATAAGATAACTTAAGTTTGCCCCCTATTGTTTAAGGCTGCCATAGAAAAAAAGTGCTTAATTAAAAGTGATATTTAAGATATGCCAATATAGACTAATGACTATAGATTAAAAATATGCAAGTTTTTTTTGTTTGTTTTGAGCATTTTCTTGGTTATTTGACAGCAAAATGAACTGACCATTTTCAAAAGCAGTTAGAATTGTGTTGCAGTTTTGATGAGTAATTAATTAAAAAGGCTTGGACTCTAAATTCTGCTCCCCTACTTGCATTCTACACACATACAGGCTTCCATTGCAAAAAGAAGTATTGTTGTACCGGCTCTAGCTGCAGAGATATTGAGGCCTCTAAATTGAACTGTCAAGAATTTACTTTTTGAAAAAAAAAAATGAAAGAAAAAAAAATTGAAAACACACAGCTCCTTCAAAAAGCAACAATCATGGTGCGCATGTTTTGCAATCCCCATAAAGATGTTAATAAATTCGTAGCAGAGCTTCTAACACAGGTGCCGGCAAATTATAAAGAAGCCTCTAGGTCGGTTCCCAATTTTTTCCCAGGTTCTGCATGTTGATAGCACCAAGTACCTGGAACAGTTAAAATGACATTACAAAAAAAATCACCACTTCCTGGTGTGTGAAAATTTGCAGAGAGATAGAAAAAAACTTGCAGAAACCAAATATGTTAATTTTAAAACATGAATTCTTTTGTCACTTTTTGGTCCCAAAGACCAGTCTGTCCCTTAAATGTAACATATTTCCTGGTCCTTTTCGAGTTCCAGTGAACGAAAGTCTACTGTACAGTTTCCGCAGGCTTGCAGAAAGCATTCGATCGGGACTGGGAACGTGGCTGTATCACACGAGAGCAATGGTTCCCAAACGCTTCGGACGAAGGGGTGCTCGCCTACAAGCTGCTCGTGCAAACGGGTCGGCCCGACAATCCCATCGACAAGAAGCTGATCCCCAAGGGACGCCTCGTCGATGATGAAGGGATCGTCAACCCCAAGGGTTTCTACAACTACCTCTCAGCGTGGGCGTCGAAACGATGCACTCGCCTACTCGGCCTCAGAGGCCAACCTCCGCCCCGAACCACGGCAGTGGATACACTCGAGGCAGGAGGTCGAATTGCGCGTTCCCAAGTCGGCGCCGCTTGCCTACGCCCAGATGCCTTTCTACCTCCGTGGCCTGCGCAACAGTGGCGAGGTGTCGCGAGCCCTCGAGAGCGTGTGGGCGCTGTGTGCACGCTTCGAGGCGCGGGGACTCCCCAACTTCCCTCGCGGAGCACCTTTCGCCTTTTGGGAGCAGCACCTGCGGCTTCCGGATCCATCTGATGGCGGCTCTGGCCCTGGCTTTGGCTGCCGTGTTTCTGGTGCTCGCGCTGGCCCTCCTCAACCTCTGGGCGGCCTGCTTCCTCGTGCTCGTCCTCGGGAGCTTCGTCCTCGAACTTTTTGGTGCGATGGGCTTCCTTGGTGTGCGGCTCAGCGCCATTCCAGCCGTCCTCCTCGTGCTGGCCGTCGGCATAGGTGTACAGTTCACGGTGCACGTGACAATCTCGTTTCTGACGGCCATCGGCAGTCGGGGCCGCCGTGTGTCGCTGAGCCTCGAATGGATGTTCACAGCCCATCGTGCATAGTGCGGTGTCGACGCTGTTGGGTGTGCTTGTGCTAGCGTCGTCCGAATTTGACTTTATCGTCAGGCACTTCTTCTATGTGTTGTCGGCCCTCGTGATTCTGGGCCTTCTCAATGGACTGCTGTTTTTGCCGGTGCTGCTCTCTCTGGTGGGACCGCCTGGCGAGGTGGGCATCAGCTATTTTTTGCAAACAGTTTACAGGGTACTGGGTTCATGCGTGATAGAAATTATTGCCAGGAGCTGCTGTAAGCTCACCAGGAGATTTTGTTTCTCCAGTTGACACGTGCGTCCTGAGTAGTCAAAAGTATAACTCATTTATACCATTAATTTCAGTGGCTGCTTTTCAATTAGCGCAGGATGCAAAGAGCCTGTGTACTAAAATCTACATGTGTTTCGGGGAAGGCGAGATGGTAAAAATGAATCCAGAATCCCCCATTCGGCATTGCTCATATTTAACCATGGTTATATCACATAAGGTCTCGGAATGTAATGTTTAAATTGTAAGAAAAATTTCAATAGCAATGGGCTATGCTAGGTCGGTGTAATCTAAAAGCACTGTAAGAGGCCTTTTATCTCACAGTGATAACATCTTGGTGCCTTAATCTGCTGAGCAATGCAGAAGTCCTCACGAAAAATTTGAGAACAGAGGGCATCACTAGAGCCAGCATTCTAACATGTGGAATTGTTTTCAAAGTTTCAACAGTTGCAACCATGAAGAAGACAAGTCCGCTTGTGAAAATGGCTTCAGCGACACCTTCGTACACGAATGTTTGATCGATTTAAGCATCAATCTTCCTTGAACGTCTGCCTGTTTTAGATTTTCACTTGTTTAGTGATTTACGAAGTGCTTCCTCTCTGCAGTTGGTGCCTCAAAATCGGGGGGATCGCATAGCGACGCCGTCGCCAGAAGCGTCTCCCGAGCCTCCGCAGCGAGCGCTAAGGCCGCCACGCACGTTTGGGCGCCCCGTTGCCGGTCCGCCGCTCGGGGGCGGAGGCGTGCGGCGTCATCCGTGGGCCGACTCGCTGAGCACGATCTCCGAAGAGCCACCCTCGTACCACTCCTGCTCATCCTCGCACGAGATCGTTCTGCACCCAGAGGTGGTTGTCGAGACTACCACGGTGACCACAAGCAATGGGACTACAGAGACGACTACGAGAGTGAGTGACATACATTCCTGCATACAATAATACCATTTTAGCATCTTCAGAGGTGTTTCTGGGTTTCACTACTTTTGCATGATTTGCTGAGCTTGCTACTGTAAGGTTGTACAAATATTGGGGCAGCTTACGCACTAGTGGTGCGAAGATACTGTAAGGTTGTACAAATATTGGGGCAGCTTACGCACTAGTGGTGCGAAGACCGAGGAGAGCTGCGGAGCTGTTGACATAACCGGCCCCTTTTCCTTCTCCTCACGGTCATTTCCCTTTCCCACCTCCTTGCTATACTCTGCTATGCAAGGCTATGCTTTACTCTCCCCCTCCTCACGTCACAACCCTTTCCCACCCCCTTTCTATATTATACAAGGATGTGCTATGCCATATCCTTTCCCTTCCTTCTATCTTCACCCTTGCATCACTCCTCCTCTTCAGTTCCTTTCCCGACTGGCAATTTGCATTCCTATGGTTCCATAAATGCATGGCTAACCTCCCTGTCCTTCCTCTTTCAATCCTCCTCCTCCTCCATAAATGCATGTACATGGCCCAAGCGAAAAGTGTGGTCCGTACGCACAAATGAAAACCTTAACAGCTCCGCTGTGAAACTTTGGTTCTCCTACTGCTAGACAGCCACACACCTGCCAACTCTCCTTACCTGCCTGGGAGATACTGAATAAGTAGTCCGACAGATTATAGAGGCGCGATCATAAGTCTGTGTGTAAACAACGCTGGTGCCTCTGTAAAAATAAACTGATAAAGGGGGACATCGGTTGTAAATTTTGTGATCGCGTGAAGGACGTTCGAGTCACTTTCATCGCAGTACTGTGATGCCGTGCACAAAGTGCATCAAGGTTGGCAAGAGGCAGCTAGCCGTCACGGTCACAGCATACTTTGTCCCTAAATTGCACATGCACGTACTCACATGTAAGTACGAGTACTACCAGTATGACCGCTGGGGTCTGCAGACATTACTTTCAGTCATTCGTGATGGTGCTGTGGCCCAGATAAACAGTAGTTTATATGTGCCCCAGTTTTTCTTTCCCTCCCTGCTTTATAAATTTCCCAAATTCTGGAATCACTCTTTGTTCATAGGTATGCAGCCAATAAATGTTGATATCAATTTCTATAATGAGGTAGCAGCCAGAGTCCCTTTGATGTCTATTTACGCGATCCTGATGGTACCTAGAAGTCACTTGAAATACTAAATTTGTCTAATTGAAAGTAGACTGAAGTAAGAGGCAAAAAATGAAGTTGATTTGTACTACCATAACATAACTAATAATACAGAATTTTATGGCAGCTGTCAACATAAAAGAGATATGAGAGACTATTTACTTCAAAGCTAGGGCTGTTTTTCCCCAGTCTTCTACTCAATGTCAGTCGCTTAATTGGTATGTTTGACATTAAGTTTTTTCACCATCACCAAAGCCTGGAAATTTCGCCGAGCAGTTTGGCCTTTCTAGAGTGCCAGTTTCATCTTATTTTGTGATAACGATGAAGTATAAAAAGTTTCAGATTTGCTGTGGAGTATTTAGAGAAATGTGTTTGCTGGGGAATTAGCTTCACCCAAGCGAGGCAGAAAACAAGAATGGCCCTCTTCTTAGCTTTGGCTGCACAATAATTAACCCCAGGTGGTTAAATTCAATCCGAAGTCTCACTCTATAGTTTGTCTCACGACCATGCCATGGTTTCAGCACGTAAACCCCTCAATTACTATTCAGTTAGCTTGCATGAGGAAACGTCGCAAACAAGGTTGTTTGTGGCATTTACTCGCAGTGCAACATACCCATCATGGTGGTTGACTGCTGATTTGAAGGTCATCCAATCGAAACCTGGCTGCTGTGTCTGCATTTTGGTGGAGTCGATGCTAGAGGCTTGTGTGCTTATATTTAGATGTGCAATACTCGTGTGGTCAAAACCCCGATCAGTCAAGATATGCAGATTCCTCTACTACGGCATCTCACGTAACCGTATCGTGGCTTTTGGTACATAAAACACCAACAGTCACTTGTTATATATGTTATATTGATGAGTTTGTTTCTGCCCGCAGAACACGGTAGACTCCGGCGACCGGTCGTCGTCGGCGCAGAGCAGCAGCAGCAGTGGCAGCGGTTCAAACAGCCGTTCGTCGACACCAAGCGAGGGCAGCAATGCGCCGACCGTGGTTCAGTCGAGCAGCGACTGCAGTGTGCAGCCTGGTGGAGGGGCCACCACAAACGTCACGACCAAGGTCACCGCCAAGGTCAAAGTGGAGCTACACGCACCTGTTCACGGTGAGAGCCGCAATGCCATTGTGCCATCGCAATGCAACATGTGTTGTCACGTTAAGTCCCCGGAACTGAAATTTTGCAGTTTGCCCGATAAAATGTAAACGGGACGCAGCATTTTTTCACTTGACAAGTAGTATGTGCTAGATTTCGGTAAAGCTATAAATGAAAACTTTCTAAAAAAAAAAATTTGTGTTTGCATATATGATGCTCATTCTGTTGAAACTGTGTCCTGTGTTCTTTGTAATCTGTCCCTACCGTAAGTCCATCACAAAAGCTAACATGAACCAACTTTCAGCGTAATACGGCTTTAGGCATATATTGTTATAAATACCTATATAATTTAATTGCTGGCAAAGGGGGCTCAATTCACTACTGTGATCACACCACCTTCTTTACTATCACCAGCTATGCTTTTCTTCTTTGAGTGCAATAAGTGATCTGTAATGTTCTTGATTTTCTTTTTTTATATACGTAAGACTCTGAGTAAACATGTCCTCTCAGGTTCCGCTCAATGAGAGTCTATTGTACGCATTTGTTTTGGACTTGCGTGACTGAACAAACAGGCCTCTTAACAATCACAACGTTTCCAAGCAAATGGCTACACTCGTTTGTTAAAACCTTGACATGTTAAGTCTCCAGCATACCTTTCATAGCTTGTGCCTCTTTCGAAGCATCTGCCATTGCTATTGCGCATTTTAAAGTGACAGCGTTAAAGAGCTCACTTCACAGAAATTCTAGCGTCGGCGTCGTTGGTTGTAAAATCGAGAACGATGCAAATAAATGATTAAGATCCTGGAATACAGTGGCGACTGAACCAGGGTTGTCTGGGTTCAAGTGGGGATGGAACCTGAATCAATTGCGTGGCAAGCAGATGTTCTACCGCACGGCCACGTCTTTGATTGTGAATACAGTGAAAAAAACTTCCTCTGCTTGGAAATGCAGTGAAAGTAGCTTTCGTGCTTCACGAGCACTTGCATACTGTATACATACTTCACAATGCAGCATGAAATATTGCAGTAAAAATGCCTGGTACAAGCGTCCATTGTCAACGGGTGTCAGAATATGCGACTATCATAATAGTTCTGTGGCTGAGAGCCGGCACACTACTACAAAAGGCGCAAATGCTACTGCGCCTATTCCCTTAATGCCACGTAGTGGGTGCATTGCAAAGTGTTTGAAGTACGCACTAGGAACAGGATGTCGCTCTCGCGTTCAACTCCTAAAGGCGAAGTTTTAGGGTCCCCTCATTTTCGTGATGCTGCGAATAATCACCGCGAGGCTTTCAAATTCTCATAATACATGGGTATTTTCTTTTCTTTTTTTGCAGCCTCCGAACGCAGTCACAAGCACAGGCGGCGACGAGATAGCAGCTGCTCCCGCGACTGCAAATTCTGACGTGGGGTCTCGTCGGTCCGCTGCTCAAGGTTGTGGCAGCCAGTATTTATTATCGCTGTACATATAGGCACCTGTGTGGTGGGTGGCCCGCACATTGACTAACTACCTCAAGTGAAAGCATCCCGTCTTCCTCACTCTCCACACAGCATCATACGGGTACAAGAGTCTTCTTCTCGGCTACTCTTCGGATCGACGAATTCACTAGAAATGGCCACAGTAGCGACGTGTCCTTGCGTAAGGAGGAAAGCCCTGCAAAGTGTACCGTGTGTTTAGAACAAGTGATCGAAAGGGACGTCGACTTCAACTGGCACGACGACGATGGGAGCCATCAATCTGCTCAAGGAACTGTTGTGCTTGTCGCCAGACTGTAGCCTGTAGCCCTCGTTTTTTTTTTTTTAATCTAGAAGGAAAATTATTTTTGTCTGGTTATGTCAAGGCACACAAGCAAGCGAACGATGCCTACACACTGCCATGTCATGAATTTGTGCTCAGTGAACGTTTACGCATGTTAAGGACTGCGAAACTGTGTTGACCTCTGGACTGTCAGATTTGTGGCCTCAGTTTTGCCTGTGCATTAGCCATACTTACCAAAGATGGCCTGCCTTTTATTTTCTTCGAGGTGTTGCTGTCGCGGGCATTTTTCTTTGGCAGTGTCGGTTGCTGCAGGGGGCGAAGCAAGAAGCTGCCGAGGATTCAGGTCTTTCTAGTTACACAGTAGCACTGTACCGCAACGCCAAGCGTTACTCGCTGGAAAGCTTCACTCTATTCCAGTCCCCTCCTCCTTCAAAAAGTCTATGGCAAGTATACTAACACCGGACATTCTCAGGAGCATCCTTTTTCTGCACTGTGGACTGACTTTGAAGTGGATGCGTACGAGCCTCGGGAATTCGGCAAAGTGCTCTCGCGAATCTGTCCTGCCTGCATGAAGCGTGAAATAGGGTGACAGAAAGACCACATGATTACGGTGTTGTAGGCGAGAAATACTGAAACGTTGTAGTAGAATTTATTTATTTTTCTGACTCTAGTGAGGGCTCTGTTGTTCGGGCCTCCCTGGAATTGTTACTCATTGAAATTATGTGGGACCACTGACTCGTTCTCTAATTATTTTTGAATATACTGAATTGAGTAAAGACGTGAAAACCTAGAAACACTGTCTTGTCTACTGTTTTAGTTACTACGACCTTCATGGTTTCCAAAACTGGGGATCATTTCTTTTTTTTCAGCGTTGTGATGTGGGCTTTCTTTATTTCATTCCCTACATTGCAGTCATAGTAGGCTGAGAAAGTAGTTCTGTCAGCAACATGTGTACTGTATTCACAGCTGCACTTGATTGTTGTAAATGTTTGTGCTAACAGAGCAAAAGAATGGACATCAATGGAAACATTTCAGATAAAAAAACAAATAAACAAGAACAACGAAATGCTAAGGGATATACTAGAACAACTTATTCACCACTGAATAACAGAGCTGTTTACCTCTAAGCCACAAAAGCTTTTAATTTATTACTTCTTGTAAAACTGAAAAAACGCACAATGTGGTATCAAAACAGGAATGAAATATTTCACAGTGCGAACAGATCTACTGCGAGAAGTGTCTCGCTGGTCTCCAAAGTGTTTGCAGCTGTGTATGGAACAGAGTATATACACTATGGCATGTAGGAAAAGTAATTGTGCAGCATTCAAATAACTGTGACATTTGAAATTGTGAATGATGTCGTGGTGCCTCGTGTGGTTCGAGACCTGCGGTTTGATGACGCCTGCGGGCTGCAAAGGATGGCTGTACGAGAACAGTACTCTCACTCGATGCAAGCTATGGATGGCCAGTGTTTGGTATATCATGCAGACAGCTCCAAGAATTGCTCACCACACGTTTGAGGAGATTTTAAGATGGGAAATTATTACAGCTGTACGAGTACGATATCATTCTGAAATGCCAAAACCTCGGCTCCTTCGGCGAGAAGACATCTGGTAAGCTGGAGAAGGCGTGAGAAAAAAAGACTGGCGTTGACAGCGCCATGAAGATTGTGTGCCACCTCACCGTGACACCTTGTACAGGTGTCGCTTAAGAACTTTAGAGATTAAGGCTGATATGAATAGTATTTCTTGCTTTCAATTGGCCGTGGCCCAAGACTGATCGAGTGTAGCGGCAACAGATCTGCATTAAGCTTTATGCGTATTGACCCTGATTGCAATTAAAATTGGCTGTGTGACACCGGTATTAGAATATTGGTGGCATCTGATGGGGCCTACATGGTTTTAATTGATATGAATGGATTACATAGTATTCTGAAGGAGATAGTAATTACTTAGATTCACCACAGCACCTTCTCCCCTTGTTTGGTGAGTCTTAAAGAAGAAAAGCTTTGCAGTGGATACAAGTGAATCAATGTCTGCTTCTCACAATGGCCTGCCTGCTGTCCTTGGCTTCCGGGGGAAAAGGGGATCACAGGCGGGAAGTAGACAGTTTTTAGAGTGCAACATTAGGGACGTCAGCTGCAATTATTATAAAATATATGCGGGGCCACAACATTAAACAATGGCGGGGCAGGCCTGTCTGAGCGAAGGCATGAGACAGACTTGGCGCCACCCTCTTTAGATGATTAAAAAAGATAGCCACCCCCCCCCCCCCCCCTCCCTATGGTTTTTGCTGTGGTCCCCACAGTAATGACCTCTTGTAGGCACCGAACTATTCTCTGCTTACCTTGCAGCACCAGCTGTCCAAGCCTACCGACGCTTGTCCACAGGTTCAATGATCTCGAGCCTTGGTCTACACGGCAGTCTTCAAAGCCGTGACAGTCGTGGGAGTTGTGTGGCAACTTTAAGGGTCTTGTAATATATGTGAGTGAACGTACAACACTATATATGGCACCCACAATTTCATTATTTTCTGCCCGAGTAAGGTTGATTTCACTACAATTATGTGTTTCTGGACATCTCGAGTACTAGTAAGCTTCTGTTAGACCCTTGTCATTCTTCTCAACTTTCCTAAAAGCACTACTTTGGGTGAAAATTGGCTATAAATGACCTTGGGAATCGGAAATATGATACAAAGTGGTGCTATTAATATGACAATGAAGTCGCTGCTTCTATATGTTCATTCAAAATATGACTGATATTTCACGTGCATATTCAAGGAATGTCGCTGGTATATTTAAGTTCGGATTCAAATCTTCACTCATTTATGCCATTTAGCGGCCCTCCAAGACATATCAGTGAGTTTAGTTAATACACCAGTTTAAGGGAGGATGGAGGCTTGAATGACGAAAAGAACTGTCAAAGGAATCCATCACCAGTGACCCCATCTGTTCCTGCATCATTGTCAACATCACACCTTCTTTGCACTTGTATCACTTTGGCCTTGTTGTGCCCCATCTATTCAACATCTCAAATGATTTCTCATGCCTCAGGCTAATTACCCTTCTCTTTGCACCAGCTTGTTCTCCTCTTCCTTTCCCAATGAGGGTTCGGTAGAGAGCTAGGCATACATGAAAACACTGCTGAGGAAAGAATTTGCCATCTTGATGAAGATGAGCCGTTTTAATATGATTTTGACGACTTCCTGTCACCGGCGAGCTCCGTGTTTCTCGGTCTGTTAGCATTAGGTGTTTGTAAGTAAGCGACATTCATTGATTAGCAAATGCGTCCAAAGAAGGATGTTCTAACAATGAAGTTGTTTATATAAGTGGGAGGTTTGGCCCTTTAATTAGTGTGCACAAGAAACTATGATCATCGTGAATGGCCTCCACCTTCGAATGCTCAGCTGGCCTAATGCATGCAAAGCAACAACCTATAGCCAGAGCTGGAAAAGGTAGGGGGGGGGGTAAGGAGGGAAAGGGGGAGACAGAGAAATGACGGCATTGTATAGTATGAAAGGTGGCGGGAAAGAAAATCTATGGCGAAGAATATGAGAGTAAAACATGCATATACAGTGAGGCCCGTAGCTGCTGGAACTTTTTCCGGGAGGGGCTGGGGGGCACCTAATTGTCGAAGGCCTTGAAAAACACTTCATTTTTTTACATATTCTGGGTAAAACATCCCCCACCACCTTGCGTACACTAGCTTGCGTACAGTACAGCGAGCTAAGGAAAGTGAGGAGCAAGCCCAGAACCAGAAATGTTTTTTTTTTTTTTGGGGGGGGGGGGGGGGAGAGTACTTATTGAAGGCATTGAAAAACACTTCTTTTCATAATATGTACTCGACAAAACACCCCCTTCATACGTCTTCATGCTTGTGATGAGCTGCAGGGTAGGAAAGAAAACGAGAGGCGATACAGAGTGATGCGCTAACTAACAACTACTTTATCTCAGTATGTAAACTCTATTACACTGTAACTCTATGTAACTACTATCACCATTTCACGGACAGCGCCACCGCCGCACTGCTCGAAACGAAGGAGCAGCTACGAGCTCCCGTTGGCGTCACCATAGACATGCGCAACGCTTCGAGTTTCCTATGGCACAACGGAAAGCATTTAAAAATGGCGCTAAATTCCCCTAGCCCCGAGAACGATAGTGTAGTAGAATACAGAAACACCTACTTTTGGCGTAAGCTCTAGTAAAACTATTGCCTTGCTGTGAATTTCAGGACGTGTAATAACATTTATATGCATAATAATTCAGAATGGCAGTATATTTAGCAAAATAAGTTATTTTCTTAGTTTAGGTTTTGGTCTACAGGGTCGTAATAGTCGCTAAAGTTTGAGAGTCACTAAAAATCACGCCTTTCTCCATGCTAAAAATGGTCGCTAAAGGACTGGTACTGCAAGGTTGCAGTTCTTAATTTTATTATTAAAAACGAATTTAGTTTTTGTTTAGTAAGTATTACGGCTAGGTGACATTAGCCATCGCCCGATCTAAAGGGTACAGCCCGTGGTACAGCCATATTATAGCCATATCAATCCACTCGTTTATCCATTTGGCGCGAAAGCAAACGCTTGTTTACATAGAAGTGTGGCAGCTTGGGCTGGTTGGTATGGCATGACGATAGTTATAGCGCGAGAACACAACGACGACACAGTGTACTTCGTGTCCTTCTTCTTCTCTCTGCGTCGTCGTTGTGTTCTCGCGCTATAACTATCGGCTTGTTTACAACCGCGTCTCCGTCGTTACCGCACCCACGTTAGTACACTGTACCCACGTTCTGTAATTCTGTAATTTTCGCCATTTCGGGTGGCTCAGAGCTGTGATATGTTTCACCGACGCACTGAGGAGACGTAAGTGCACGGTCGACACGCCGAGATGCCGCCAGTGAGTGCAAGTGCTGCCAAGTTTGGACGTGATCTACGAGCAGGGGCGGCGCCAACAGAAAGTATAAATGCTGGAGCACCCCCCCCCCCCCACCTCCCTGACTTTTCGTTTGCCTCCCTAAGAGCAAGCATAGGCAAAACACAGTGCATACGTTCCCAGCCTTCCCTGACCTGAAGGAAGTTCTCACTTGTGGGTGCCCCCTCGCTAAAGAAAAAAATTCTGGTGCCCCGTGTGGCCGCTTAGGCTAGTTGGTATGGCATGACGATAGTTATAGCGCAAGGACAAAACGACGACACAGAAACAAGTCTCCTCCGTGTCTCTGTGTCGTCGTTTTGTCCTCGCGCTAT